ATTTCTTCAGTTTCAGTGAGTCGTGGGAGCCGACATCAACTAGTGTCTACAGATGGTAATAGTAGTAGTAGTGATCATTGCTCTGGGCACCAATCGGCAACTTTCTTTATGGGAACGGGAGTCCCAAATGGCCGTGATGCAATGACGTCGGTTGGATGCCGGAACAGGACGACTCCTATGACAGGAACGAACGAGATAAAAGATTGAGGGGGGCCTAACCAACAGGTTTCGTAGTTCTTTGTCGTCTCCTGATTGCAGAATTCATTTTCACGTGACAGACGAACAGAAAACCAAGAGACGGTGTTGTGACAGATGAGCATACCCAGTCAGACCAGCAAACCCATAATCAATAGCCCTTTATCCCTTGCGCGAAAAATAGACTTTAAACTACCTGAACGGGCGGGTGTCCCTTTAGACATGTACAAAAATAACTATTTAATTATCTACTTTTTTTAAGCATATGGCGATCTGACCTTTAAATTTTTTGTTTGTTTGTACATCACTAAAGGGATACACGTTGAGTTAGTTTAAAGTCTATTGTTCGTCCAAAATTAGTGGGATGAACGCAAATCTGGCGTCTTGCTCATGGGTATTGACTATAGGTATGCTGGTCTGACAGGGTATGATCATCTGACAGAACAGTGGCCGTACCTCAGTCTGCAGTCAAAGGTCAATTTTTTTTTTTGCTGGAGGAATAAATTTACAGAGGGAGACGGTTCATCTCATTCAAAAAATGTTCCTAAAGTTGCAACCAATGAACCTCCAGCTTTTTAACAAGCCGCTCAGCTTTGCAGCGCATCCTGTAAATAAACATCAAACATGTTGTTTATAAAATGGTCTGGATTAAGTGAGTGATGCAGTGATGAGTTTATAGACTCAGGAGGTTAAAGCTAAACTATCCAGAATGTGTTTGACTCGGTTTTATAGTTTGAAGCTTGTAGATCCTCCTGCTGCAAATCTTCATTCTCCTCCTCTGATTCTCACCTTAAATGCAGCTGGAAGCTCTGGACCTTCACAGCTACACTTGATCTTCTGTTGTTTCCGCTGCATGTTTCATCCTGAATGAATGGATTTAATTCAGGATGAAAATATTTTAATATAATTTAATTCAAAATAAAAATATTTTATTTCCAATTAAATGATTTTAACTGACATGATAGTCATTTTTTAAATTAAATTTCTGTCAAATGGAATGAATTTGAATTAAATGTTAAATCCATTTAGATTTTATATACTGTAATTTTTGGACTATAAGCCGCACCTGAATATAAGCCGCAGAAGCTAAATTGCATGATTTGTACATAAACAAGCCGCACCGGACTATAAGCTGCAGGTTTTTTATGATTAATTGCCATATGGTTCCTGCACAGCGAGGATTGTCGGGAAAGAGGCAGCTGTTTGGGGAAGCTCCTATTTATTAACATTTCAACACAATTGAATTGAGACAATTCTTCCTGCTGGCGTCTCCAACGTCTCACCATTGATGCCAAGGTTACGTGCAGCAGTTCTATTTCCTTCGTTTACTGCCAAATTGAATGCCTTTAACTTAAAAGCTGCATCATATGCATTTTAACGTTTGTTTTCCATAATGAGGATGTCACACAAACTGTCTTACGCTCGCTTCCGGAGGACGTCTGCATTCCTGCGCTCGCGGCTACTTGTGTGTTGAAGCAAATGTGACGTCAACATGGACGATGGTAAAATCCATAGATTTAGGAACTGTATTACCCTAGTGGCCGTTGGCTGTAAAAGTCCATAGATAAGCCGCATTGTTATATAAGCCGCAATGTCGAAAAATGGGGAAAAAGTCGCTGCTTATAGTCCCAAAATTTACGGTAAATGTTATTTTAATTTTGAAGTAGATAATTTTGATTTGCATGAAATTATTTTATTTCAAAGTAAACCATTTAATATTAATTTATATTGAATAGAAACAAAATCTGATTAAAAAATGGTCTGATTTAGGATAGGATCACTGATTTCAAATTAAATGATTTGATTAGGAATCAATTTGATTTAGCTTCGCAGGGAAACGCTGAGTCATCCTAACGAGGCCGGATGGGCTCTGCTGAGACGAAGCTCCTTTATTCTGGTTTTATTTCTCTCAGCTGTGGAAGAACCTGCATGAGGAAAAGTGCTGCTGGTGTTCAGCTGCTTCTGTTCTCCTGCAGGTTATCGGTCGGATGTGTAAGATCATCGACAAGACCTGCCTTTCTCCAACTCCCACCCTGGAGCAGCACCTCATGTGGGATGACATTGCCATCCTGGCCCGCTACATGCTCATGCTGTCCTTTAACAACTCTCTGGATGTGGCGGCACACCTGCCCTACCTGTTCCATGTGGTGACCCTTCTGGTAGCCACCGGGCCGCTGTCCCTTCGCGCCTCCACCCACGGTTTGGTGATCAACATCATCCACTCACTGTGCACCTGCTCACAGCTCAGCTTCAGCGGTAGGCAAAGCCGCCATCTTTACTGCTGATCACTGAGAAGCTTGAATACAGCAGATAACCTGATTAAAGCAGCAGAATGTTTGTGATAAAACAGGTTTTATTGTGTTGGTTTATCTCAGAGGAAACGAAGCAGGTCCTGAGGCTGAGCCTGACGGAGTTTTCGTTGCCAAAGTTCTACCTGCTGTTTGGCATCAGCAAGGTGAAGTCCGCTGCCGTCATTGCCTTCCGCTCCAGCTACAGAGACCGCTCCTTCTCTCCAGGCTCCTATGAGAGGGAAACCTTTGCCCTGTCCTCGCTGGAGACGGTCACCGAGGCCTTACTGGAAATAATGGAGGTCAGACAAATATAGGAGCATCTTCTCTTCCTGTCTTTGCAGCAAATTGTCCCAGAAATGTTGTTTAAGCAGATGTTTAGCAGTGTTTTTATTGCTAGAGGCTGGTTCTTTCACCATTATCACTGGTTTTTGGGTGAATTAGACGTCTGTTTGCCACAGCTGCTTGTTTCATCCTCTGTTTACTTCAGGCTTGTATGAGAGACATCCCAACCTGCAAGTGGTTGGACCAGTGGACAGAGCTGGCTCAGAAGTATGTGGCTATTCAGTCATTCATGCATTTAATTCACCATGCAGGATTAACAGCATCTGCGTTTTTTTGTAGGTTTGCCTTCCAGTACAACCCGTCTCTGCAGCCCAGAGCTCTGGTCGTCTTCGGTTGCATCAGCAAGAGGGTGACCCACGGTCAGATCAAGCAGATCATCCGAATCCTCAGCAAAGCCAGCCCTCTGCTCAGCATAGACCGGGTAAGGAATCTCTTTGTGAACCACCGTTTGGACTCGGTCCACTTGAATCTCATCCATTTGTTTCTGTTTTTTTGTTGTTGTTGTTTTATAATTTTTTTGCCAATTTGTTCACTTTAAAAGAACATATGGCTCTACTTTATTACATGTGCTTTCTTTTGCACTCAAGTCAGATAAATTGTCCTGAGCCTTGAGTTTGACACGTGTTTGAAACCAAACCTCTAGATCAGGTTCTGTCTAGTAAAATATGAAAAAAAATAACTACTCTGACTCTGCTGCAGGTATATTAACCCACATATGGTTCTTAGTAATTAGCTAGCCTGGCGAGCCACACTAATTTGGATTGTGTACCACAGCATATTAGCCCGATTACATAGGCAGAGCTAACATACGCTGGAAAGGCTTCAGAGCCAATTGAATAATTATGGGAACACTCCGTACACTTTTGTTTTGAGAGCAGGCTGCACAGAACTTTCCATCAGCCTTGAACTTTTTTGTCACTGAGCTCCACATCCATCCATCCATCCATCTTCTTACACGCTTGTCCCAATTGGGGTCGCGAGGGGTGCTGGTGCCTATCTCCAGCAGTCAATGGGCGAGAACATGGCGAATCCAATATTTCAAATTTATTGGGCTTTTCCGCATTAAAAGGAGTTTGAACATCTAAGATTTTATCCCATCTCTCCTCTGAGTTCAACCCCCACCGTTTATGATGTGTTTATGATCATCTAATTTTCCTGTGGGATCAATAAAGGATATTTGAATGTCTCCTTCATCGCTCTCGTGTTGCTCCTCCTCTGATGGCCGTTTTTCCCCATGTTCAAGGGTCTGGAGAGCTGCTTGAAGGGACCTGATAACTACAACAGCCAGGTACTGATTGAGGCCACAGTCATCGCTTTGACCAAGCTGCAGCCTCTTCTTAGCAAGGTAGGAATCTCTCCTCTGAGTCACATCTTTTCTGTTTTTGAAGATGAAAACCAAAACGTCATCAGGACAATGTCGGATTCTAACCGTATTAAAAGCTGAAGCCAAATTACTTTCTTCTTTTCCAAACCGACTAAGAATATTCCAGGAACATCCCATAACCCTGATCCTCTAGTCCAGGGGTGTCAAACTGGTTCCAGAAAGGGCCGTGTGGCTGCAGGTTTTCTTTCCAACCAAGCAATAGCACACCAGACTCCATTCATCTCATCAAGTGAGTCCAATCTTAACATGATGACTTGATGAGATGAATGGAGTCTGGTGTGCTATTGCTTGGTTGGAAAGAAAACCTGCAGCCACACGGCCCTTTCTGGAACCAGTTTGACACCCCTGCTCTAGTTGAACCCTCTCCTGATTTCGTGTTTGGAGGTTCATGAGTTCTGACCCGTCCAGATGTCTCTGAAGCAGACCGCATGCTGTAACGGTTGCTGATCAACCATCTGCCTCTTGTCTGATGTTTGCAGGACTCTCCGATGCACAAAGCTCTGTTCTGGGTGGCAGTAGCTGTGCTGCAGCTTGACGAAGTCAACTTGTACTCTGCTGGAACCGCGCTCTTGGAGCAGAACCTCCACACTCTGGACACAATGCGCATCTTCAATGACAAGGTAAAGCCTAGGAGGCCTGGGCGCTGCTCCGTGTCTCGTTGCTCTGCTATACTTTGTCTCCTTGGAGCCTTAGCCCTAACTTTGGTTGCAGGACGTTTTCGAGCATAGATGCTTGAAAATAACTGAGTAACAGACCGCCTCTAAAATAGTTTGTTGTATAGTTATTTTTGCCTTTGCTCTCCTGTCAGAGGTAGGTTTGTTTGTTTTTTTGGGTTTGCTTTGTTTTTAAGGTCACTGATGCAGTATTTCTATATTTAGGGAGATTTGAAATTTTAATAAAGAAACAACCAGAAAAAGTTCATAGTTGATCTGGTAAAATCGAGCAGATGCTTCCTGCTCTTCCTCCTCTGGAGGATGACTGCTGAATAGAAAAATAACTTTTAACATAACCTGAGACATTCACTGTTTACGTTTGCATAAGAAAAGGTGACTTTGAACACCAGATTATTTTTCCCCAAATATGTTTTGTTTTTCTTTTTTGCTTCCTCAGAGTCCAGAGGAAGTTTTCATGGAAATAAGGCGTCCTTTAGAGTGGCACTGTAAGCAGATGGATCATTTTGTGGGCCTCAACTTTAGTGCCAACTTCAACTTTGCTTTAGTGGGCCACTTACTCAAAGGTAAAGCTGTTTGCTTCTTCACCATATTTTATTTTAAAGTCCCTGGTGTGATTTCCTGCTAGATTAACCCTGACTCAGAACACAGGAAGTGCTTTCACACAGAAAGCTAAGAATGATGTCTGGTTTTTGAGGCTTTTTTTCGAGGAAGCCAGCATGTTTACATATCTCCTGTTGGTTGGTGTCCCTGCAGGCTACAGACACCCATCACCCACCACTGTGGCGAGGACGGTGCGGATCCTTCACACCCTGTTGGCTCTGACTAGCAAACATCTGAAATGTGACAAGTTTGAGGTCAACACTCAGAGTGTGGCTTATTTAGCAGGTACAAAACAACATGCAAAACATCCGACATCCTGTTTTAAAAACCGAGCTGAAAGGCCAGACCGCTGTGGTTTCAGACCATAGGGCAACCAGGTCTGCCAGGAGTCTGCACCCCTATCTATCTACGCTAGTTTCAGTTAGACTGATAACAGCATAGATAGAAATAACTAGACAGTAAGATGATGATATACCATCCTTTGCTGAACACCAGCAGTGCAACCAGGCCTGTTTTAGGGACATGGAGAGGGAAAACAAAACCAAATCCAGAGGTTTCAAGTAATAAAGTACAAATACTTTGTTACCTTAAGCCCCTATCACACCTTAACGATTTAGCCCGTGTATGCCTGACCGTTTTTCTGGTCGACTGGGGCCTGAAATATATCCCACCTCTGCTGGTTTGGCTATCAGGACGATTAGCCATGTTCAGTCTGGATTTTCCCCACAATATTCCCAGTTCAGACCTCAGGATGATGGACAGAACCAGTAGGGGTCATGGTTCCTCCAGGTCACAGAACCCTAGAAAGAAGGAAGCTCCACAGTGTAGCTGCACATCGCATGCAGGCAGTGTCTGACGAAGTACTCAAATATAATACTGGATTAAATGTATTAATACTCAAATCTTACTAGTAAAGTAAAATTTACCTGGTCAAACATCTACTCTGGTTAAAGTATTAAAGTACTCACTATTAAAAATGCTGAAGTATTGAAAAGTACATTCATTAAAAAGTATTTAAGTTTTCAAAAATACAAATAAAACTTTCTAACATCAGAACATTTCTGTATAATTTTCAGACTAATTTTAAAGAACCTTGTAACTTTAAGAAACCACTTGATATAC